GGGAAGGACTTCAACGTGTGGTTTTACAAAGAAAATAGCATAAAACAAACAAATAAATCGCAAAATAGGAAAAAGAAAACCCCCTAAACTTGAACTAAACATTTACCTCAATGTTTCAAAACAAGATCGAAAAGGGTGGCTCACATAGGGTAACGCAACACCAACTGTTGCATCCTAGCTTTCACCTGCAAGGCCCCGTTTTTATTATCTGAAGAAAAAAAAAACAAACAACAAAATGAAAAAACTAAGTCATTAAAAGCGTGGGTTTCCTCCCATGAAGTTCTTCATTTAACGTCGTCTGACTCGACGGCTCATCCCCTTTATTATGGGGGTACTTCCTCTTCCACACCTTGCTGCTTGTCTTTTCCTCAACCTAGTTCAAAAGTATGGACCACTTTGTGCTTCAAGACACTTCCAACTTCCATCTCCTCACCATGATGTTCCTTTTTCTTTCTCTTCTTAACTTCTTGAATGAACTTAGGAATTTTGATGGATGCATGAGATAATGCCACTTGAGAGCTTATGCCTGAGACTTTTTCTGGAAGTGGCTCTGAAATGTTACTTTTCCTCCTAATTTGATCATTCCAACTGAAGATTTATTATTTCCACCTACACCTTGCTTATTGATCTCCAACACCTTCAAAGTTATGTCCTCATCAAATGATTTTAATGTCAGATTACCTGTCTCGATATCAAAATTGCATCGACTAGTAAGCAAAAATGGTCGACCAAGAATGATATGAGTCTCTTCATCTTCAGGAATGTCCATGATCTGGAAATCAACTGGAAAGAAAAAATTGTCAATTTCCACCAATACATCTTCCGCTATCCCATATGATTGCTTGATGGTGTGATCAGCAAATTTTAATTTTGTCCCACTCTCGCTTATCTTTTCAATACCAAGCTTTTTGAAGATCGATAATGGCATTAAGCTCACACTAAAACCAGAATCAATTAGAACCCTTGAGTGTTCAGTCTTTTATAGTGCACAGTATTGCAACTGATCCATGATCCTCCTGCTTGATAGGTATTCTTCTCACGGACGTGATTGCACACAATTTCTCATCACGGAGTACCAATCCATCTCTTGTTGGTCTCTTTTTAGCTAGTACCTCCTTCATGAATATTTGGTACATGTGCATTTTCTCTAGAGCTTCAAAGAAAGGCATGTTGATCTCTAACTTCTTGAAAAATGTGACAAATTTCTCAAATTCTTTCTCTTTTGGATCCATCTTTGTTACTCGAGAGGGATATGACAACTTAATCAGCGGTTTAGCCTTCTTTTTAATTTTTTCTTCAGTTGGCTTCACAGGAGGTATAACTTCTTCCAGCTTTTTCTTGTTTTCTCTCACTTCCAGCTCTAACTCTATAACATAGTCATCATCTTATGCCTTCTCTTCTTTATCTTCTGACCCCTTCTGACTTCTTATTGTGACAGTATTAACATTCTCATAAATTTTCTCATTGTCGTGTGCTTGCAGAGACAATTGTTGTTCAATCTATCCCAATTGAACTTCCAAATTTTGATGGAAGTTGTGGTGTTCCTATGGTTTCTCGTTGTCTCTTCCTTGAATTAAGAAGTGTGAGTAGCAATATTTTCAATAGCTACCTCTCAACCTACCTTATGTGGAGCTTGTTATTGAGTATATTTCCAAGAGAAGTTGGGATGATTCTTCCACCCCGGATTATAGGTGTTCGAATATGGATTATTCTGCTTCAAGAACTTGATCTATTCAATTTATTATGGAGTAGAAAGACAATATACAGTGTGGTGAGGTCCACTACAAATCTCACAACTGACACTCTGAGTAGGTTGAACTTGGGTTACAGTTTGAGTACCTAAATTCATAGCTTTGAGTCTTCTTTCAACTTCAACATCGATTTGATCTTCCATCTTTACCACTTGGTTTGCAAGTTTTAAGTCAATCACTCCCTCCGATTTACTCACACTTCGGTCATATAATTCCAAGTGCTCATTTGCAGCAATGGCTTCAATGATCTTCTTAATACCAGTGGTTGTTGTAAAGTTGGATGAGACACCGACAATTGTATTAATAAGTTGATTTATCTTCATTCTAATGCCATTTACAAACATCTGCATTTGTTCAGTTTGATCCATATTGTGAGTGGGATAAGCTACCAATAACCTTTTGAACCTCTTATAAGCATCACCTAGTGACTCTTCTTATTTCTTCTTAAAATTCACAATATCATATCCTTTGCGAATGTACACATAAGCAGGAAAGTATTCATCAAGAAAAGTTTTCTCCATCTCTTCCCAACTAGTAATACTCCCAGCAGGTAATGAGTAAGACCACTCTTCAGCATCTTCAAAAGCGTGAACGGAAACATTCTTAATTTCTTTGCTTCTTTAGAGTGTCCCTCAATATTCAAAGTAGTACTCATGGGAAGAAACCTTTGCAAATGCTTATTCACATCTTCATTTATCTTCCTTGTGAAAGGTTTGTTCTCAAGCTGTCGGATAGTTGAAGGGTGCGGCTAAAAATTTGCAACATTTATCGATTGATTCATAATAGTCAACTGGCCTGCTGGAGCATTTTCTCCTCCATAGTCCCCAAGAAGTCTCTCAGGTGCTGGTGGATTTTCACCCATATGTCTTTCTTCTTCTTACGCTGACTCTGAATAAGTATGAGTTGAATGTTCTTCGTCAGATGCCAGTCTGGCTAATCGAGCTTCTCTAGGCCTTGCGTGAAAAGTTCTTTCAATTTTTTGCTTCAAAAGGAAATTCAACTGAGGATTTTCCTTGTATACAACGGTTAGACACAAATCAACAATAACTAAAATAAAAAAAATAACAGAAAATAAAATTTTAGTTGCAGAGCAACAAAATTCTAATTAAACTAAAATTAAACTCTATATTTTGGCAGTTTCCGGCAACGGCGCCAAAAAACTTGATCGTCAAAATATCAAGTGCACTATTTTTCCTATGTAGCAATAACATGGAAATTCCCTGAATGTCGATCTCAAGGACTGCACATCAATATCGAGTTCAATATGTGGTTCAATTAAACAAAAATTTAAATTGGGGTTTTGTTTGGAAATTATCACTTGACAATAAGTAAAATAAGCAGAATACTAAATTGGTTTTTCACAGACATGAGTAACATGCTAGGGTAACGTATATGATTTACCCTGTAACAACATTGAATCCTGATTTCTATAACAAGTTCAAAACATTCAATTACCAGATCTTAAGGTCATTTTCCCCTAAGTCCTTAGTGGGAAAACCTTTGAACATTCATCATAAATCCTAAGTCCTTAGAGAAATATGATGAAATCAAGTCTTGGTTTTATCAAGAATTAACCGGTAACATACAGGGTATCCCTAGTCCTAGGTGATATCTACTATAGTCTAATCATACAAAAATCTTAACAACCGCGATTTAGCTGATTGTTAACCGGAAATCTATCCTTGTTGGTCTGACAGGGAAAGCATTAAAAATATTGAATGATTAAATTGAATATGAGAAACTATTGCATTAAATAAATTCGAACTCAAAGTCATTTACATAATCAAATCAGGGACACCCCCTAGCATTGGGAGTTTAGCTACTCATATTATTCAAAGAAAAATAATATAAATTGTAGACATTAGAAGTATTTGGGAGAAATTTGATCTTCAATCGCTTCCGTTCATGAAAATCTCCTTCCACTGAAACCCTTGTCTTCTCCAATCTTTTCTTCTGTAATTATTCGCTTGTTTAAAAAAAGTCCTCCAATTCATCGTAAAAACTCATCTAAATAGTGAAAAACCATTAGTCTCAGTCGGAAATACCCAAAACTCCCCTCCAGTTCACATATAGTGAAAAATCATGAAAACAAGGAAAATCAGCTTCACTGGCCAATACGGCCCGTGTCAGGTAACACGGCCGCCTGTGTTGGCCTTCTGGTTTCATTATTTTCTTTTTCAAGCCCCAGGATGTGCAACATGGCCCGTGTCAGGCGATACGGCCGCCCGTGTTGCACCCCTAACTTTCCATTCTTCTTCACTCATCCCATGCCTTCCTCCTGACACAACTCGTGTCAGGTGACACGGCCGCCCGTGTCAGGCCTCCTGCAACATGATTTTTTGTATTTATTTCTAAACTCCGATTTTTGCACTTTTTCGCACTGATTTGTCCTGATTTATTCCTCTGAGCCTAAAAACAGTAAAACACACCACCAACGCATAAAATGTGGAGAAATGAAATAAAAAGCTTGACAATATAAAGAAAAGATAACTGAAATCAACGGTAAATAACTGTGTAAATACCACTGATCATGAACTTCGAGTGCCCTGATCTCTCATTGCACGAAGAGGATACGTAAGCATAAAAGTTCGCAACCGCGGCAAGCGTATTAATAAAAAACTTTTCTTTTTGTATATACTCTGCACTCATGCATTCCCTTTAACAAGTTTAAGCTTTAGATAACACACTCTTTAATTAGAACAAACATATTGGATATCGTTGAGTACAACAGATGTTTAGGATGCTAATACATTTTCTTTGCATAAGCGACCCTCGTATCTAGATCTCTATTTATTTAAGGTTTTATTCCCTCTTTTCCTATTTCCTCTTTTAAAACAATAAAATGCAGTGACGATTTTCACTTTGTGAGATAAGTGAATCAATGGTTTAGTCTCAATTTTTTACCACTACAACATGAACAAGAAACCATAATAGTAAAGTAATAATCCTAACATATATGTTAATGCAACAATCACCATTTTCATGTAGACATGAATAATCATCAACTAATCAAAAACATACATTACTTAATAAGCACTCCACATATTTATTTATTCACTCATTCAACCCTTACATATTTTGCATCACATAACTTTGACTCTTTAATCACTACAGAAAGGTAGACAACCATATTGGTACACAAGATCGATACCCCATAAAGGTATACACTGATCATTAATATAGGCAACTGGAAAATATTATTATTGGACAGAAACTAACTCCATATAATTCATACTAGCTAGTTGGTTTTCAGACCCTGGTGCCTTTAAATTTCTTCTCAGCCTCCCTACTGTCGATGACAGCATCACGGTATCCATAACGTCCTACATCACCCCTCCTGTAATAATCATCATCACCGTAATCTCTACCATCATCAACGAATGTGACATGTATTGGTGAATTACGTGGTCGTGATTGAAGTTGGTTAACATTTCCATTAGGCCTCATGATACCTGCAAAACCCGTCCTATCAGAAAAGCGAGGAGAACCATTACCTGATGCTGGTGCACCCCAATTGTCCATAGCGGTTGGAACTGGACTATCGTAGTAGTGATGATGATCATTGTTGCTTTCGTAGGGGTGATCGCGTTTTGCAGCTTCGATCTTCAACAATTCCAAAGCCTTGTCAATATCATGCGTTGGCTCGCTTAGTTGGGTCCCTTTTCTCGGTGCCACACTCCAATCTGAACTAATTTTTGGCACATTACCATAATTGTTACCATAGTTGCCATTCCTCATGGGCTTGTACCCTTCTTTTTGGTTGTAGTCACCACCATATCCATTAGGGCTACCATAGTAGTCATTCTGAATGTTACCTCCTCCAATAGGTTTGTGCCCTTCTTTGTAGTCACCACCATATCCATTAGGGCTATCATAGTAGTCCTTCTGAATGTTACCTCCTCCAATTGGTTTGTATCCTTCTTTGTCACCACTATATCCACTGTTATAGCCATCATGACTAGTCCTTATGCTACCTCCTCCAATTGGCTTGTGCCCTTCTTTGTAGTCACCACCATACCTATTAGGACTATCATATTCATAGTTGCCATTCTTAATGTTACTTTCAATTGGCCTGCGTCCTTCTTTGTCACCACCATATCCGTTGCTATAGCCATCATGAGCGCTCCTTATGATACCTGTTATCGGTTTGCGCCCTTCTTTATAAGGATGATTTGGATCTCCTGCAACTGCTGCACGATGATCACCACCGTACCTCTTAGGACTATCGTAGTTTCCACTTTTAATGCCATTTTCGATTGGCTTGTGTCCTTTATCACTACCATATCCATTTTTATCATAGCCATCATGTCCACTCCTTAGGCTACTATCTCCCTCAATTGGTTTACGCCCTTCTTTGTAGAGATTTGGAGAACCATTAGTACCATCATACTTATCATTCTTAATTGGACTAATTCCAATTGGCTTGCGTCCTTCAGCTGTTGGCTGTGGACTATGGCGACCCCGATCAACTATAGGACCCAATCTTTGAGATTTACGGCCACCTTCGTGATTCTGCAACACCTTGGCCGGGAACTGATCAACACCTTTACGCGGCGAGCTATGAACGGGGACTGTTTGATGATGCAATTCATCATCAGATTCATCTCCCGAAGAGGCATATTTCTCGCTCGCAGGTTCATCATAAGGCCTGCTAGCCACTGGTACTATTATTTTTTTGGGAACAGCACCCTTTGAGTAGTTACTACCGTTACTTTTGGGAACAAACGGAGCAAATGGTTTTGTAACAGCCGGCTCACCCGAACTAGTTCGGGTGGTACTGTAAGTTGAGACGCTGCGGTAGGCATAACCATATCCTGCCATCAATTCTACTCAAGATCTTTGTCTCTATCTTTTGTTAGAGATCAAATTCTTTTAATTATAAAGATCGAACTGAATTTCACCTTATATAGAAAAAAAAATACATTAGTAGTAAAACTTTGAGATGCTAACCATATGCTTCCACTATTCAACTAAATAATTGAGAGACAGAAGATTCAAATTTGCTGTACTTGAAAGAAAGAACCATATTCAAGATAAATATTGTGGATGAAAGTATAGAATTAGATTCGGTGAATAATATTTGAACGGATAATATTATATGGAAGGTTGACAAAATTCTAATGCTTTTTTTAGTGGCACACATAGTTTTCTACCGGAGGGAAAGTGAGCAAATTTAAGCATGGTAGAGGAATAGGATTCATTCAGCAAAGACAATAAGAATCTATAGGAGTAAGATGTAAGTAAAGAAAAGAGTATCAAGAGTTGAATGCTGTGAGATAGAGATGACTTGTATGCTAAGCAGGTGTAGAAAGAACCAGATGCATGCACCGACTGGATGAAAGGTGCTGCGAGACGTTGATACAAGGCGGGAAACCACAGGGGAAGTTACATTACAGGAAGGAAGTTACTAACTCCTCTTTCGTGTGGCCTTTAATTCATCTTAAACTATGGTTATTGTTGCTTTTTATTTCTCACTCCAAATGCACAATTAAACCACATCTATAACTATAAATGTCAGATGGTTGAATAACTCACCAGGATTTTGAAGTGGATTTCGAGAGTAATATTATAAGTGTATTCATCACCGTACAGGACTTTATAGGAGAACACATACTCCTGTATTTTTTTTTTTTTTTAGTATAATGGCTTTCACAATGAGACTCAGTAAAACTAACCTGAGTCACATCTCCACTATAACTCTTTTGTCTCATGTATGAAGATGATTGACAGGATCCTACATTATAAAGCAAACACCATCGTGGGGGTATCTCAGGGAAGGGCCACTTCACAGACGCCCGAATAAGGTATGTGAAACAGGTGTTTGTGGCAAATGTTATTAATTGTATTTGATCAGAATGGATCGTCAAGGTCTTACGTCGAGCAGAGGTTGGAAGTGAGATAGGGGGTATCTGCAAGACACTCTGATGTCAAAGTAAGTTTCAGGGAGAATGTAAGCAAGTGTGAGTATGAGTATGAAAGAATGAATATTTAATTCTCTCAAGAGAGAGGGTATTTATAGCCTCCAGCGCTGGATCAAGGTCTCTAATGTTGGGTCACGATGAGGCCTAATAAAGAAGACTGTCATGGCTTACGTGTGTATGGAGGCCAGCACGTGGCCTCCCCCCTAGTTGGTTGCCCCAGGAAAGCAGGAGCTGGACCCGGTATTCTCGGAGGACATGAAGGTTGTGACGATAAGGGTATGTGGGCCACGTTCCTCAACGCATACATGGGGAGTTGCCCAACGGTGCCCAACTTGGGCTGTTTGCTTTTGGGCCTTTGCAAAGGTGTTGAATTGGGTCTCCCCAACAGTGGGGCAAGTGCGGGCCCAGTCCAGATCAGGAGCCCCCCAAGTTATTTCCCTTAGGTGAAAAGGTGATGACTTAAGTTCAGCTTTATGAACGGGGAGAATTTACTCGAGAAGGGAAGTCGAAGTCCTCTGATGGAAATGAGTTGTTGCCCGTGTCGGGGATCTCGTGGATAAGCGAGATGTAAGACCGATTGAGTCAGTTGTTCGTCCAGTGTCTGACGGGAGTATATAGGCTACGAGGAGCTTCCACAAACTCTTTTTAGACGTGCCTGTATTCAAGGGGTTGTTGCGATATCGAGCGTTATTTCTCCCCTGAGGTGGATCACGACGACTATGTCGATATGCACGTTTGTCATGGTGTCGAGCATTTCTCCATGTGAGGCGTCGGTATCATGTTCGCATACAATGTTTCGTGTTGAATTAGGGAAGATGTTCGTCTCTTGAGAATGGATATGTGGTTGATTGTTGGGTCATGTGGTTGTTGCTTTTGGGTGCCATCTTTTCATGGGGAGTCCAAGAGGCCCAATCCAATGATGATTTTTCGTGATAAACCTCGTGGGGTGTGAACCACCTATAAAATGGGGACCCCAGGGTTTCATTTATTATTTCTCAAGTTTTCTGCAACTGTCCTTGCCCGCGCGTGAATCTTCTCTTCTCAACTTCTTCTCAGAGTTCTTCAAAACATCTTTATCCAAGTAAGTCATATTCTTCTAACAACATGTTTCCTTTAGAATTCTTAGATTAAATGCATGTTTTTATCTTGATTGGAAGAATCTTGGATGAACAATCATCAGTTCTGCGACGAACATCCATGAATTTCCGTTGAAGTTCATGATAGGTAGATGAACTTCATGATATCGGGGTCATGATCCCCAGTTAGTGGGGATTGATTCGGGCACCTTGCCCGTTTGACTAGATATCCCCAATAGAAGTGTGGTTGGTTTTAGTGTTCGGTCAAGGGCTTAGGTCGAAGTCCGTCCCTCGACGGCTTCCCCGCCCTTTCACTTGATTTGCGGTGGAAGGGTGAATTTGATGATGTTGAATTCACTGTTTTCCCCTATGATCCGCTGTCGCGCACGGATCAAAAACGAATTATTTTGAAAAATGTAGTTTAGCGACAGTGACTCGAGTATCGTATCGCGAGGATTCTTGTAATATTATTAACTAATAGAAATTGAATGGGGGGCTGGGTTTAGGATCGATTTATAACACGAAATAAGTGATTAAAATAAGTGATTATAAAAATAAGTCGATCTACTGTTTTCAGGTTCCTCCTAATCATTGGTTTTTATCTTACCAATTCCCTAAGAGGCTTCGACCTCTATTCGATTTCAATACCAATTGACAAGCGCAATAGATATAAAATAGATTGAATTCCCATTTCGAATTAAGCAAACGGATTAATATAATCGTAAATTAAGCAAACACGATATAGAACGCGATTTAACGACTAAACGACGTAAACAATGATTAAAGATTAGGAATACAATCATACGAATTTAATCAAGACATTCCATGAAATAATAGATTAAGCAAATACAATTTCATAAAATAGAATTGAAAGAGAAACGAAATTGAATTGATAAATTAAAAACCTTAAAGTATCAGAACGCGATTACAGTAGATCAACTCTGAATGATTAGTTCTTCATTCAAGCGTACAAGTCAAAGTTTTTTTCTGAATAATGAAAAGGTAAAAAACAAAATTACTGTAGTGGCTGCTAGGTATAGCAAGGACAAGGATTCGGTTCATAACCCAACTGGGTCAAAAACATAACCCAGGCCCAAAACAAATGACCCAAAACTTAAATATAAAATGCTACAACTTCAACTAATTTTGTGACCCTACTAAAGTCCTATTCATCTCTCGACTTCTGAATGAAAATCATAGCCCTTTCTCTTAGCTTTCCAACGAATGGTAACACGCTTCATTCCGACTCATGTAGCTCAAGTTATGAATTTATCCGTGCAGAATGCTAATGCTGAAAATAAAGTGCGAAAATCAAATAAGAGTAGAAATAAACTAAAATAGAAAAACACTATAAAATACAAAAATAAGGTAAACAAACCATGGAAATGCATAAGTGCAATCATGGAAGAATGTGCATCAAAATGCACTGATCACCCTACTTTTTAGGTATTACGGCACATTCGGTCAGGGAGGATGTCTTGCCCGTCCACCATGAAGATGAAATCAACATCGAGGAGGACCCTTTGGCCTGGGTCGCCCCTGAGCCTAGAAATAAAAGGTCGTGCTTTTCACACGATGCAACAGACATGTTCAATTGTCCGGAGGTTCGAACCGAGAGGGACCCTGCCAACTAGATTCTCTAAATTCCTCATCATAATCGAAGGATCTGCTCGGCATACTCGGGCAAATGTTTTCCCATGTACGAGTTCGCGTTTAAAGATGCGGGGATACGTTTGCCCTTCAATGACTTTCAAGTGGGGGTTTTCCAGTGGCTTCAATTGGCGCCCTCTCAACTTCACCCAAAGGCACTGGCATTGATGCGGGCGTTTGAGTTCATCTGCCAATATCTGCAAATAGGCGCTACGCTACCCCTCTTCTTATGTATCTTCCACTTACAAAGGCAATCCATTGGAGGAGGGCAACCGTGGGTGTCCTTCAAATAGTTTAGGAAACTGTTTCAACCATACTTGGAATCTGTCTGCCATTTCAAAGAGAGGTACTTCATCGTGAAGCCTCTAACGGGCGTGGCCATAGATTCCTTGTGAAACCAGGTGGAAGAGATAGAAGACAGTCGCCCAGTAGTCTGGTTGACGGAAAGACTCCCACTCGAATGGCAGTGGAAACATTTCGAGCAAAGGCCCGAATATTATGAAATAACACTTGAGGATTTAGACGTATAGGACTATCTCTCCTATGAGAAGCTGGCGTCCTATGTGAAAAGTTTCTCCCTAGCGAGGTGTGTAGACGTGAACAACAACCTCCTATTCGACAATGACGGGGAGTATCTCCTCGTTAAAAGGTTTATCAATACAAAGAATTTGCTCGAATGTTCTTCAGATGAGAAATCCGTGAGGATTTTAGGTAGAGGATATGGTCGCAGTCTTATTTTCATGTCTGCCTTTCGTGCGGGGACATGCTCGCGATATTTGTCTTTGTTTTATCTCGTGACTAACAGTTTCCTTTTGATTTCAGGTCGGATGGCGTCCCTTTCCGAGCATCTCTTAAAGTTGAGGCCCAAAAATGCTTCTACCTCGGGGCCAAATAACAGGGTCACGCAACTCCAGGAGCAGGCCAAATCTTCTTCCCGTTCAAGAGGTTCCCCGTCTTCCTCAAAGACCCAGGTTCCCCCCAGCGAGCCCGCCCAGGTTCCCCCCAGCGAGCCCGCAGTAAAGAGGAAACACGTGAAGGACGTCGAGTGCTTCATGCCCAAAGGTGATAAGAGGCCCGAGGAGGTCTTCGTGTTTCCTCCCTGTTATCTAAATCGTGATCTCTTTAGCGAGGAGAGCTCTTTGGGCGTTCAAGAGGAGGAGAAGGAGGTGATTAT